TGAAGAGTCAGAACTACGTGCACACAGAGATGCTCAGCTTTTGACAAGAGGCAAAGGAATTGGATGGGAAGGACAGTCTCTTCGACAAATGGTGCTGGAGCCACTGGGCTCCCCTCGAAAGCAAACAAACAACACCATGGACCTTCATCGCCACCTCAGCAGGATCCAGGGAGTAACTCAAAATGGATCCTAGGTCCAAAGGTAAATCATGAACCAATAACATTCTTGAGAGAAAATATCTGAGAAATTCTTCATGAGTTTGGATTTGGCAAAGACTTCTTAGCATAATCCAAAAGGGGGAAAAATTGATAAGTTGGAAGGCACCAAAGTAAGGACAAAATTAAGAGAATGAAAAGACAAGCCGCACAGAGAGAAAATATTTACAAATCAAAGACTAGTATCTACTTATGAGAGAAATGCAAATTAGTAGCATAATGAGATGCCACTACTCACCTAGTGGAATGGCTACAATAAAAAATGCTGGCAAGAGCCAAAACTGGTTTGGCTCAGTGGATAGAGTGTCAGTCTGTGGACTGAAACAACCTCTAGGGGGCGTCCATCTGCCCATGTCACCTCCAGGGAAGATCAGCCCTTTCCTATAATAAGACCAGGAGGGCAGTTGATGCAGAGGAAGGTACATTTGCAGAGACCTGGAGGTTTATCCGATGTTCCCAGGGTTTATTCTATCCAAGGGCATGTACATTGGTTGTGGGCACATCCCAGGTAGAGGGTGTGCAGGAAGCAGCTGATTGATGTTGCTCTCTCATCGATGTTTCTAGCTTTCTATCCCTCTCCCTTCCATATATATATATATATATATATATATATATATATATATTTTATTGATTTAAATAAACCAAGTTCTCCCTTGTCTCAGGACCCCTTGCTCTTTATTAACATAATTTGTCCTAAGGCAAGGTAGATATACACTTCAAAGGCCAGGGTTTAGTTTACAGAGTCCATTGTCAGATTGGTGAATTACCTCTGGCTGTTCCTGTGTTTGGCCAGGAGGAGGCAGTAACATGTAGATTAAGATGCCCTTAGCTGTCTGGCAGCAAGCAATCATTATGCATCCCTTTCAGGTTTGAGGAAATGCCCTCAGCTATCTCCAGATGATTCAGCCCTGCTGACATGCTGGAATTGGCTTCCAGCAAGGGAGAGATAGAAGCATCAATGATGAGAGAAAAATCACTGATTGTCTGTCTCCTGCACGCCCCATACTGGGGATGAGCCTGAAACCTGGGCATGTGCCCTGGCTGGGAATCGAACCGGGACCTCCTGGTTCATAGATTGACACTCAGCCACTGAGCCCCGCTGGCCGGGATGATTTGATTTCAAAAAGAAAAGTGATGTTTCTTGTATCTCAGTGACATGGAGCAAACCCCTGCTCCACAGATGCCAGTTGGAAGCCCCAGGGATGGATGAGGTAACCCCGTGAGCATTTACCCTGCAAAGAGCCTGAGGGGTCTCCCGGAGCTCTGTGGAGGAGCCTGTAGGAGGCAGTGGCGGGAGGCCCAGCCGGCGCTCCAGAAGGGGAGCTGGGAGGAGCGGTGGAGTTCCTCCACGCAGGGAGCACTCCGCCGTGAAATGCTGCAGAAAGTGCCAGGAAGATGCAGACTACAGTGTCCACCAGAGGTCGCCACATGGCGGCTCGCTGACGTGATGGGGCCGGAGCCAGTGTTTGAGGGGTCTGTGGAGGATTAGAATGTGTGTCCCCTCACGGCCCTGCACATTGGCTCCATTGGCTAATCAGTCAGACGCCACTGGAGCAGGGTCAGGGCCCGTAGCCATTCTGGTCCATTGGATGAGAGAGCAGGGTGAGCTCCACTCAGTGAAGCTAGAGAAGCCACCTCTAGGGGGCGTCCATCTGCCCATGTCACCTCCAGGGAAGATCAGCCCTTTCCTATAACAAGACCAGGAGGGCAGTTGATGCAGAGGAAGGTACATTTGCAGAGACCTGGAGGTTTATCCGATGTTCCCTCTCCCATCTCATTTGTCTGTGGGACCTGGAGGTGAAGGGCCTGGCCCTCTTGCTGCAATTTCAACATTTTTGAGAGGTCACACTACTACACCAATAACTGCCCTGGGTGTTTCCCTGTGTCATCCCATTTAATCCCGCCTCACAGACGAAGAAATAGAGGTCAGCCTGTCCCAGATCTCTCGGCTATGGAAGTGGGGGAGCTGGGATTTGTACCTCCAGATACTTCCATTCTGATGCCAGTGCCCTCTCCCCTGTGGCGTGTGTAATTAGAAGGGTTCATTTAAAGGGGATTCCCAGCCCAGCCAGCGGGGCTCAGTGGTTGAGCGTCGACCTATGAACCAGGAGGTCGTGGTTCAGTTCCCGGTCAGGGCACAAGCCTGAGTTGCAGACTCTATCCTCAGTGGGAGGTGTGCAAGAGGCAGCCGATCAATGATTCTATTTCACTGATGTTTCTATATCTCTCCCTCCCCTTCCTCTCTGATATCAATAAAAATACATTTAAAAAACAACACAGACAAACCAAGAAGATTCCCAGGGCTCTCCTTGTGTGAAAGTGAAGGATTCTTGGCCTCCGGCTGGGCAGAAGACAGCTTCTGTTCTCTCCTGCCCTGCTGGCAGAGCTGAGCTGTGCAGGCCAATGGTTAGTCCTCTTCGAGGACTCACCTGATAAAGCCTCCTGTCTGGACAGTCCAGCTGCCTCCCTGCAGAGCATGGTCCCCCAAGTTCTCGGGGAGGCCCTTGATAAGACCAGCATGGAGCCTGCTGCCTGGGCGGGGAGTGGGGCGTAGATTACCAGGAACAGGAAGCCTGGCGTGAGGAGGAGGTGGGGAATGAGTGGCATGTGCCTCTCAGAGCCACCCACCCACGTCAAGGTGACATGGAGGTGTCTGGCCTGACAGCTTGTCATGGCCTGGGCGAGCCTCTGGAAATCACCCACCTGGGATGAGGGTGGGACGTACAGGGGCCTCCTCCCACTGTGATGACTTGTCCCAGGTTCTGGAAACCGTGTGGTCCAAGCCTCTGGCATGTGACACTCTGAGGGGTGTGCCAGCCGCTCCGGGGAGTCGCCCCGGCCCCTCACACAGCAGAGGTCCAGCTGAAGGACCCCCACGGCCAGGAGGCAGACCCCATGAGGCCTCAGAGAGCTGGATTCCACCTGATTTTGAAAAGTAGCTTCTCAAATGGGACAGCCTGGATTCAAAGGTCAGCGCCACTACTTAGAGTCTGGGCACACTTATTCCATTCTCCTTTGTGTCTTCTTGCATAAAACAGCAACAATGGCCACGCTCGAGTGTCCTTCCCCATCCCCGCCGCCCTGTCTGCTCGCCTACCCTTCAGGATGCATCTCACCTCGCCTCCTCCGGGAGGCCCTCCTGGCCTCTGGCACCACTGGTGGCTGCTCCACCCGTGCCCCACGAACGGTGCCCAGACTCAGCCACAGCGTCTATCACGCCGTCACAGCCGTGAGCCCCTGAGGCCGCCGCTGCGTCTTCATATCCCCGGGCCTGGCCGGGCACCCAGACCAGCCAGCCTGGTCCGGCGGGAGCATGGATCCATAAAGGAATGGGTGAGGAAGTGAGCCAGACCCAACGCCAAGGAACCAGAACTCAGAGCTCACACGGAGGATGTCTGGGCAGCTGGTGGACCATCTCAAGTTCCCACCTCGGGTCCCAGGACAAACCCAGTAACAACATGTTCACACAACTTTTATTGCTGACGGCCATGGCCGGGCTGAGGGAGGTCACGGCTGCTGCCCCTCCCGCCTCCCCGCTTCAGAGCCCGTAGCCAGCCCTCTGCCACTGCCTGGTCACCAGTCGCTCCTCCTGCTCTGCCAGGGCAACTCCCCCCGGGCTGCCCGCCGTGGCTGGGGGGGGGGGGGTGTTTGACCTGCTTGGACCCTGCCTCTGGGAGCACAGCCCACCAGACAGGCCAGGGCCAGGGGAGAACGGGAGCAGGAGCGGAGTGAGGCTGGGAGGTCCAGGGCTCGAGGGGTGGGGCAGGAGGGCAGTCAGAAGGGCCTGGAGGCAAGGAAGGGGGGTAGGGGCTGGGGGTAGTGTCTGAGTTCTCTCCATGGCAACCTTATGTCGGAGTTCCGGAAACAGCAGAGAAATGGAAGGACGGAGAGAGCAGAGGAAAATCTCCAAAGTCCCAGGGGTCTGTGGGCGGTGCCGTGGGCGGCTCCCTGCCTCCGGGGCCCGAGGAGGACCAGCACCCATTGCTCACGCCTGGGAGGAGCCCGAGTGAGCGCCAGGGCTCTCCCTGCCCTGGGTCTGCGCCTCCCCGAGGCCCGCTCCCTGCCGAGGCACCGGAGCCCCAGGCCCGGAGCCGGGAACCCGCCCAGCCCGGAGCGGCCAGCCCCACGGGCCCTCAGAGCACTCGGCGTGACCGTGCTCGCTCCCCAACGGCAGGCATTTGGGGAGAATCTTTAAAAATACATCCAACTCTGTTTCTTAAATATAAAAATAAAGTCAAGTCCACACCCGGCCACTGTGACCAACACGATCGGTGATCTGTCTACACGGCCGGCCTGGCCGGCATGGCAGCCCCGCTCCACACGCCGCGCTCTGGAGCGTCCTCCTGAGGGGCAGCCGGGCGCGCGGACGAGACCACCACCATCCCGACAGCGCTGGTGTCACCAGGCAGTGGGCACTGTGTGTCCTGGGCCAGTCTCCGAGCCCAGGTCGGAGGGCAACAATTCCCGGCCTGTCTCCTCCGCGCGGACACACCTGTGGGTGTGCCCCGTGCCACACTGTGGTTCCCAGTGTGTCCAGCCTGGGGTAGGGAAGAGCTGACCACCCTCCTGGTTTCTGAAGACCTTGGGAGAGCAGCCACACACATGCACATGCACGCATGACCCACACATGCGCTCGCGCGCGTGTGCAGACGCACACCCACACACACACACACGCACACTGTATGTCCGCTGAGCAGCAGCAGGGAACGGCCGGAGAAGGTCGGGGCCTGAGCAGATGCCGTGGTGGCCTCGCAGCCTGGGCAGCAGCGGTGAGGTAGGCAGGGCTCAGGGCTTCCGGAGGCGCACCTCGCTCTGAGGAGGAGGGACAGGGCCGGTGAGCTGGGGCCCAGAGCCAGACCGGGTGGCTCAGAGCCTCCACTCAACCCGCCTGTCGGCTGGCACCCTCAGAGAGGAGGGAAGGGACAGTCATGGAGGTGGGCTCTGAGCCCCGGCAGCTCCCCTGCCCCCTCTGAGAGCCACTGTCCTGCCCTCAGCGGGCAGAGCACTGGCCTTCCAGCGTAGACACTGCCCGGGTGAACCTCCACTTCCTGCCACCCCCATCCCCCCAGGGACCATTTCCAGGAGGAGAGTCCTCCCTCTGGCCCCTCCTCCTTGGCCCCTCCCCATTCCCCCTGCTGTCTGTGGCCCCTGGCCTGTGTGATGCACAATGTGCCCCCTATCCCGGGGGGAGGAGCAACATTGGCCCACCCCCGCAGGCCTCCCCCCCCCAACCCTCAGACTCTGCTCCATCCAAGGACAAGGAGTTCAGGGCACCGGGACGCGGGCTGGCCCAGGGTGGGACCCCTGTCCTGTCCTGTCTTCTGCGCTTTGTGACCCTTGGCAGGGGAATGTGAGGGGTCTCTGAGAGCGGGGAAGGGCCCTCTTCCCAGTGACCTGTGGGCACTGCCCCCCCCTCCCGGCCGGCGGTGCCCGCAGCCTCACCTCCATCTTGCTGTAGATCCAGGGCAGGAGCTCGGTCACTTTGGTGTACACGCCGGGCTTGTTCCTCTGGCCGCAGCCCGTCCCCCAGCTGGTGACCCCTGCCAGGTACCAGCGGTTGTTCTGCTCACAGACCAGGGGGCCCCCGCTGTCCCCCTGTGGGGAGGACACGCTTCAGCAGTCAGCAGAGCGGGGAGGGAGCCTTGTGTGGGAGAGCTGGGCACCGACTCCCCTCTGACCCGGCACCTCTGCCTCCTGCTGGCCCTGGTCCCGGAGCCCGAGCCACCCCCCCGAACCCAACCCCACCGGAACCCGAACCCCCCGGAACCCGAACCCCCCGGAACCCAACCCCCTGGAACCCAACCCCCCCGGAGCCCGAACCCCCCGGAACCCAATCCCCCCGGACCCCGAACCCCCCGGAACCCAACCCCCCCGGAACCCACCCCCCCCAGCCCGAACCCCCCGGAACCCAACCCCCCCGGAGCCCACCCCCCCCAGCCCGAACCCCCCGGAACCCAACCCCCCCGGAGCCCACCCCCCCCAGCCCGAACCCCCCGGAACCCAATCCCCCCGGAGCCCGAACCCCCCGGAACCCAACCCCCCCGGAGCCCACCCCCCCCAGCCCGAACCCCCTGGAACCCAACCCCCCCGGAGCCCGAACCCCCTGGAACCCAACCCCCCCGGAACCCAACCCCCCGGAACCCAACGTCCCCAGAACCCGAACCCCCTGGAACCCAACCCCCCTGGAACCCAACCCCCCGGAACCCAACCCCCCCATAGCCCAACCCCCCCCAGAGCCCGAACCCCCTGGAGCCCAACCCCCCTGGAACCCAACCTCCCCGGAGCCCGAACCCCCCCGGAGCCCGAACCCCTGGAACCCAACCTCCCCGGAGCCCACCCCCCCCAGCCCGAACCCCCTGGAACCCAACCCCCCCGGAGCCCGAACCCCCTGGAACCCAACCTCCCCGGAACCCAACCCCCCGGAACCCAACGTCCCCAGAACCCGAACCCCCTGGAACCCAACCCCCCTGGAACCCAACCCCCCGGAACCCAACCCCCCCATAGCCCAACCCCCCCCAGAGCCCGAACCCCCTGGAGCCCAACCCCCCTGGAACCCAACCTCCCCGGAACCCAACCCCCCGGAGCCCGAACCCCCTGGAACCCAACCTCCCCGGAGCCCGAACCCCCCCGGAACCCAACCTCCCCGGAACCCAACCCCCCAGAACCCAACCCCCCCGGAACCCACCCCCACCCCCTGGAGCCCGAACCCCTGGAACCCAACCCCCCCGGAGCCCACCCCCCCCAGCCCGAACCCCCTGGAACCCAACCCCCCCGGAGCCCGAACCCCCTGGAACCCAACCCCCCCGGAACCCAACCCCCTGGAACCGAACCCCCCCGGAGCCCGAACCCCCCGGAACCCAACCCCCCCGGAACCCAACCCCCCAGAACCCAACCTCCCTGGAACCCAACCCCCCCGGAGCCCGAACCCCCCCGGAACCCAACCCCCCTGGAACCCAACCCCCCCGGAACCCAACCCCCCAGAACCCAACCCCCCCGGAACCCGAACCCCCCAAAACCCAACCCCCCCGGAGCCCAAACCCCCTAGAACCCAACCCCCCCGGAGCCCGAGCCCCCCTGAACCCAACCCCACCGGAGCCCGAACCCCCCGGAACCCAACCCCCCCGGGAGCCCGAACCCCCCGGAGCCCGAGCCCCCCGGAGCCCGAACCCCCCGGAGCCCGAGCCCCCCGGAGCCCAACCCCCCGGAGCCCAACTCCCCCAGAGCCCGAACCCCCCGGAGCCTGAGCCCCCCGGAGCCCACCTGGCAGGAGTCGCGGCCGCCCCGCAGGTCGCCGGCGCACATCATCCGGGGCGTGAGGTAGCTGTCGTAGACCAGGAAGTCGTTGCACTTCCTGAAGTCGATGAGGCTGACCTGCACCTCCCGCAGGAAGGGGGACGTCTTCTCTTCAGGGAGGGGGTCAGATGTCAGCTCCCGGCCTTCCCACTGCCCGACTCCGACTCCCACACACACCCTCACGCCAGACACCGCTCACTACACACGACAAAGTCAGCGGACATGGACACACGTCTCAGTCTGCCTTGCATGTTGCACAGGGCTTTTCCGTGTTCAAAGTGCCATCCACTAGGGCCCTCCCTCCCTTGTTCCCGGCAGCTATGAGCTGGAGGAGGTGAGTGACCCCCTGCAGATGGAGGAGGCCGGGCTGCAGGAGGGACTGGCCAATCACCCCACTGGTCAGCCAGGAGCCGAGGCCAGAGAGAGAGCTCCCAGCCAGGCACGCTGAGCCGGGGAGCCCAGCCTGTGCCTCATGGGGCCGGACAGGCCTGGGCAGTCTCCTGCACCTGGAACAACCCTATAGGCCAACACCAGACAAGGCCACGCCAGAGCCGTGATGGCCGCTCTCTAACCTGGGCAGGCACAGGTGCAAGCAACGCAGCCGCCATGCTACCCGCACGCCAGCACCCTCCCACCAGGAGGGACGGCTGCCACTTCCTCGCCGATGGCAGCTGTAGACGCCAGGTGGCCACAGCCCCAGACGAGATCACTGAGGGACTTATCCTGCTCCCCGAGAGGTTCCTGTCTAAACACACGCTCCCCAGAAACTCAAGCCCAGGCCCTGCGCCGGGTCCTTCCTGACGCCTCTGCTGAGAGGCGCCCTGGCTCTCCGTGATGAGTGTCCCCCTTGGACAGGAGCAGAGCCCCACATGTTCGTTTCTAGAAGTTTCACGGTGGTCTTAGCTGGAGGGCGTGGTCACATGACTGCTTTAACACACACACAGGTCACACAGCCCCACCCAGGCCCGTGAGATCGGAGACCCAAACCCTCATCAGCTAGTTCTTTCCTACCCCCAGCATGTCACCCCACACTGCACACGCACACACACACACACAAACACACACACACACACACACACACACACACACACACAGCTTAGCACCCAGCCTCTCACCATCTGTCTCCTTGGTCTTGCCGAAGCCTGTGATCCAGCAGGTCTCGTTGAAGCTGAAGGTCTGCCCGTGCATGGGGAGGCAGGCCGGGTGGATGTGGGCTGCAAGGAGAGTGCAGGTCAGTGGAGGCACCGAGCTCTCGGCGGGGAGGGGAGGGACAGGGGACTAATGTCCTAGGAGCCTCTCCTTGTCCTCGGGGAAGTTCTGAGTCTTCCAGGGCTCATTTTTTTTCTTCCTTTCTTTCAAAATCCTCACCCGAGGATATTTTCCCAATGATTTTAGAGAGAGTGGGAGAGGGAGGGAAAGACAGAGAGAAATATCGATGAGAGAGAAATACATCAATTGGTTGCCTCCTGCAAGAGCCCTGACCAGGGCCAGGGTCAGAGAGAAGTCTGCAAGCGAGGTGCATGCCCTTGACTGGAATCGAACTCAGGACACTTCTGTCCATAGGCCGACGCTCTATCCACTGATCCACACCAACTAGAGCCAATCACTTTATCTTGGCCCTCCAGTCCTCAGGGTGCTACAGAGGCCCCAAGCATCCTGATGCAGGGGGCCACGTGGGCAGAGGGCTGTGCCTGGAAGCTCCCCTGGACCGAAAAGATCTTGGCGACCGGGTGCTCTATCCCCGGAGTGGCTCCCCTGCCTGTGTCCATCAGAGCAAGGAGCAGTCACGAGCGAAGTCCAGTGGGATGGCCGTGCTGTCTCAGGGAGTGCGCAGCCTGGCTGGGAGGGCTCCTGCCGGTGGCCAGGACCCGAGGCTCTCCCTCCCGGGCAGACAGCCTCTGTCGGCAGGAAGGTGCACCCTCCAAGGCACAGGCCACAGCCTCGCTGCTCACTGGCTCCGCGACAATGAGAGGTGCAGGTGCTGCTGTGGGTCACCCCATGTGCTCCTCTAAGGACATCTTCCTGCAGGGGGCACAGACCACCATGTCCCACTCCAGAGAAGAACATGGGCACTGACACATATCTGCCATGTTCTCAGCTGCTTGCTTTGCTCACTGCAGCTTCCTGCACCTGGTATACACACTGAGGGCCAGAGTATGATGATCTCTGAACACACAATAATCTGGCCTCTCAGTGTGTGTGTGTGTGTGTGTGTGTGTGTGTGCATATATTAGAGGCCGTGCACGAATTCGTGCATGGGTGGGGTTCAGCCATCCTGGCCAGGGGGCGGGGATATGGGCGGTTGGCTGGTCTGCCTGCTGGTCAAACTCCTGGTCAAGGGGACAATTTGCATCTTAGTCTTTTATTACATAGTACATTCACCGAGTGGCCAGATTATTATGCGTTCAGAGATCATAGGCTGAACTAAGATGCTCAGTAACTTTGAAAGAGAGAGAAGGAGGGAGGGAGAATGAATGTTAAATTCCCGGACAGCCCAGCTGGCATGGCTCAGTGGTTGGGCATCGACCTATGAACCAGGAGGTCACCGTTTGTTCCCAGTTAGGGCACATGTCTGGGTTGCAGGCTCAATCCCCAGTGTGGGGTGTGCAGGAAGCAGCCGATCAATGATTCTCTCTCATCATTGATGTTTCCCTCTCCCTCTCCCCCCTCTCCCTTTCTCTCTGAAATCAATAAAAACATATTTTAAAGAAATTCTCTTATAAATTGGGCTTTGCACATTGGCATCTAACATACCTGTCGGCTTCAGAGTAAACAAGAAATAAATGAAGGGATAGCATCAAATATTAACAAATATGCAAAACACCATCTCTTATAATGTGCTGTCCCTAGTTTTGCCACACGGACCCTGGAACATCTGTACCTGTTACATATTCTGCTGATTTTATGGGGAAATGAAGTTTCCCAGTGAGTTTCCATGAGTTCTTTCTGATGCTCTGTGACCGCAAGGTGCGTAGCCTATGTGTGGCGACTGCACCTGCTCTCATTTCTAAACCAAGAGTCAGGTCCAGGTCTGGCCCAGGGTGGCCCTCACTGAGCCTGGGACTCCTCTGGCCCACAGAGCGTGGGGATGGCTGCATAGGGTGGGCAAGGCCTGTTAGGAGGAGCGGGAGGAGCGTGGGGCCTGCCCACGGGAGGCTGTGGCTCAGGCGGGTAGTTCTGGGTCAGCCGGGCCAGCTAGGCTCCGCCAAGGCTCCCTCCTCCTCACCCCACCCGACCAGCCCCCTCACTGCTCTGACTCACCACCCGCCCCGCCTCCGAGGTAAGGTGCCTGCGGGAGAGGCGGCTGACGGGCCAGAGCACAGGAAAGGCCGGACGAACCAGAGAGCCGTCCCAGGCCCCCGGCAGCCCCGGCCCGCTGAGCCAGCCTGCCTCTGAGAGCCTCCCGGTCCCGCCGGGCCCACTGGAGCCCATGCCCCGCCCCTCGGCACCCCACCTTCGGCCCCCTGGCTGCCTGCCTGCTCCATTTGCACTTGCAACCCCGGAGCCCACTCCGCAGCGGGCGCTGTGGTCGGCAAGTGAATGACCGAGTGAGTGGCCTCGTGCCGAGCCCTCCCTGTCCCCTGAGAACGTCAGTAGAGTTTCCGCGTGTGTCTCCCTGGTCCTTAGCACCCCCCTCACGGCAATGGGGTGTCTGCACATGACTCCCCGGTGTTCCGAGGGCCAGCCCTGCCGCCCGGAGCTGAGTGGGAAGAGCGGTGCCGGGAGCCGGACCACCGGCCGGTCCTGGGGCTGCCGCCACAGCTCCATCTCCTCCGTGTGAACTAAGCCGCCACAGGGCCGCTGTGCAGAGCCACGAAGTCACAGCTGCCACACGCCTACCGTGCCTGCCCCCGGCGAGGGCTCCGTGACCAACGGGGAGAACATGCCATCTACCTGTTAGGGAGCCTATGACATAGCCATGGCCCTGGCCCGGCACCTACTTGCAATGGAGGCTGTGTCATTTGGGCAAACTCATGTCCAACCTCTGGGCCTTAGCTTCCCTAATTGTAACACAAAGGTGTCCCTGAGGTGACCTCTGAGCCCCACTCCGCACACTGAAGCTCTGCCCACCCCCGGCTGGCAGGTGCTGCCCGCGGAGGGCTGCCGGCAGCCGCCGGGTGTGAGTGCGGATGCACGCACCGGACAGGGCCAGGGGCTTGGAGAGGCGCATGAGGGCGATGTCGTAGTCGTCCTGCTCGTCCGAGTAGTTGCCGTTGATGATGATCTGGGCGATGGAGGCCGCCTCGGGCAGCTGGTGCAGGTTGTTGGTGCCGGCGTACACCTTCCAGCCCTCCAGGACCTTCTCCCGGGTCCTGCGGGGCCACAGGGGAGCAAGACAGTCACCTGCCTGCCACCCACCGCATGGCAGCGTGTGTACACACAGGGCAGCGTGTGCACACACAGGATGGCGTGCGCTACTCACAGTACTGCGTGTGTACACACAGGCTGCACCTTGGGCCCCAGCGTGGTGGCAGGAAGAGGGATGACATGGCCTCCGGAGACGCCTGTCTTAGCTCCAAAGCAATGCCCCCTCTCCCCCAAGGCATTTGGAGCCTGCCCCTGCACCCTCCAACAGAAAGGGAGGGGCCGGGCAGGATCTCTGGGAGCAGTCACCCCACTGTCTCCTCTGCGTGCCCCAAAGATCAAACCAGGGCCGTACACATCTCAGTATCACTGTCCTCAGTGGGAGCAAGGTTCTCGGCAGGAACCAAGTGGCCCCCGAGGACTCCTTGCTGGGCCTGTGCCCCAAGGCTGCTCTCCTGCCCACACTCACGGAAGCCTGGCGGCCACTCCAACCCCGCCCCCATCCCTCAGGTCCCCATACAGGGTCCTGATTTCCCAGGCTCCTCTCCTGTAAGTCTGGTTCCAAAACCAGCAGCCAGGAGCCAGTGCGGGGCCCTCAGGGCGGGCTCCTCCTGCCGCCCGCTCTCCCTGGGGCCCCAGGCAGCAGCAGCGTCTCCTGCTGGGCCTGGTGCCGAATAAGATGCCCACAACCAAGGGCCTGCTGCCCCCCATGGCAGGGACCCAGCTGCTGGAGAGGGAGGGCGGCCTCACACCAGCCCTTCCCGTGACCCCGGACCCCACAGCCTCGCATCACCTGGCCCCCAGCACTTACACGAAGAAGCAGTGGGCCGCCGTGAGCACCCACTGGGCGTCGATCAGGGTGCCCCCGCAAATGTGGGTGGTGCCGTAGTGCAGGCTCACTTGCCACGGCCACTTGCTCTCGGGGGCCAGGGCCCCACCCACGATTCGCCCCGTCGGGGCCCTCAGTCCGCAGTCTGGGGAAAGCAGAGAAGGTGACCTGTCAGCGCTGCTGCTCTCCCAGCCCTGCCAAGCTCCCCGGGCCCAGGACGGCTCAGGCTGCCAGTCCCGAGGGCACCCCCCGGCCCGTGGACACCACTCTACCCACTGGGTCTGATGGGGTCCAGTGCTTCCTGCCCAGCCAGAGGCCCCGTGGCGGCAGGGGGTCTGGTCCTAGGCAGTCCCTCTTTCCTCTGCCCGTTCACTCCTCCTCAGATTCAGCAAATGCCCAATGGGTGCCCGATACCCCCTCTGTCAGGAGCCCGGGAAGCCCATCCATCTCCACGACCTCGGTTGAAGGTGCTGTGCTGGGACCGCCACTCCCTCCCTAGAGCCAGAGCAGACAGCCTCCATGGCACAGGGGCTGTGTGCCCATGTGGCTCCTCCGTGGCCAGCTCACACAGTGTGAGCCCTTCGTTCCAGGGAGCATTCCCCGGCACCTCCCGGGGTGAGTCAGCCCCCAGAAACCGTGGGCAAGGGGGGCAGCCTTGGAGTCTGTGCAGATGTGCTCTTTCCTCAGTCGGGGGACGGAGTGAGGAACCAGAGTGTCTGGGGTGGCACTCCGTCCCGCTCATAGGAGCACCCCAACGGCCATTGCTGAGAACACTATCCACTCGGGTCCAATGACCAGCGTGGGCTTAGGGGTCAGACCCTTGGTCAGAGGTCAGCTCCTCCCCCACCAGAGGCCTGCCCTGAAGCTAGTAAACACTTCCGTTTCCTTTCAACTCGGGGAGGGTAGAAGTCCCTGCCTCCCGAGAACTTGCTCATGCTGGTAAGGACGCAGGCAGCGCCTTGCATATAACACGGTGGGGTGCGGACGCCAGATCCAGGCCCTGCCTGTGGCAGAGGGGCTGTTAGTGGCCAGCCCTGCTCTCCAGGCCTCTGCCCCCGCCCAGAGCCCAGAGTGAGTCCAGTGTGCTCTGGAGTGAGCGGAGCCGCTGGCCGAGGTCAGGGCAGGAAGGCTGGGCTGGAACGGTCCGGGTGCCTTCGGGGAACCCTGGCCTTGAAGCAGGCTTGCTGGCTAAGCCCCTCTTCCTGGTGGACCCGGGCCAGCCCTGGCCCCAGAGAGGCCCCACCGCTCTGCCCCCGATTCCCACCCCACAGGCCACCGTCAGGAGGAAGAGCATCTTCTTACGGGAGCACTGGAGAGAGACGTACCGCTGGGAAGGGCATTCGGATCTGAAGGAGGAAAGACAGAGGTGGGAAAAGGGCATGTTAGTCACCTCTTCCAAGAAGCCTTTCCTGCTCAGCTCCTCTCCCATTTCCTTTGCACAAACACGTGGAGATTCAGACCTTCTCCCTTGTGGTGGGAGGCCCCTTCGGTGTGCTCACCGGGCATGGAAACAGCTCAGTCAAGCCCTCCCCACTCTCCCCACCCCCCTGCCCAGTGGCAGCCGCACACATTGCCGGATCCCCATCCTCTGAGCTGGTGCCTCTGTTGTCCCAGCTTCTTCCACGATTGGGCAGGCAGCCCAACCCTCCTCTGGAAGGTTCTGCCATGCTCGCCAGCAAGGAGCCTGCAGGTCACCTGGCCCAGAGCGGGCACTGCCGGCCCAAGGCAGGCACCGGGAGCAGCCGGCTCCTTCCCTCCCTCCCACCCCTCCTCTGGGGCCTTGCTTCTCTGTCTCCCATCTCCTGAGGTAGACACTGCCAGCTGGTTGAGTGCCCCCGCCACCCCTCAGTGGGATGGGACCCGGCGGGGCCACAGTGCGAAGCTGACACCTGGTGAGGAGGTGCCGGAGGAGGCCATGCCCCGGGTGGGCCCCTGTTTACAGGCCCCCGACACTTCCCTGCTGCCGCTCCGTCCCCTAAAACCCTGCAGCGGGGTTCATTCCAAACACCTGGCCGACTGCTGGCCCCCAAACTCACTGTCTCTGGCAGCCAGGTAACCTCTGGGGACACCCCCACCCCGTCGTGCTCTCTGCACCGAGCCTCCGTGAGGAGTCAGGAGCCAGGAGGTGAATGAGTTCCGGGTCTGAGGTGCTCCTGACACTCACATCGGGCTCCCGAGGCCCGTCCAGAGAAGCCCTGAGCCCCTCATCCCTCCCACAGCCAGGCCGCTGGCCGCCCGCACCTGTACAGGCTTTCCTGGAGGGTGGAGTTGTATATGGAGACGGAGAAGCTGCTGATGGCGCCCCGGTAGGCCACCTCGCTGGTCCGGTAAGCACTGCCAGGGGAGAGGGAGAGTGAGCCCTCTGATACAGGGTCTTCTTCCCCCCCCCACCCCCCTCCCCCAAGCCTGGCCAGCACTGGTGACGGGGAGGGGTGGGGGCAGGGTTGTCAGGCTCCATATGGCCTGACCCCGCCCACCTAACCCCGATTGCCCCACCAGCCCTATACTTAGCCCAGCTATGATCACACCCAGTGTGTCTCTGCCAAGCCCAGCAGCCTCAGCCCCGCCCCCTGCCGCCCAGGAACTTGTTGGAAATGCAGACTCAGCCTCAGCCCTCCTGCACCAGGGAGTCTGGTCCGGGGTTGGAATAGGCTCTGGGGGGACTCTGACACTCTCCCTGAGACACGCTGGCCTGCCCCTTCCACCGGCATGGTGACCCGAGGACCAGACCCTGCACTAAAGACTCTCATCAGCCCCGCTGTGTGGCTCTTAAATAATTACTCTTAAATAATTATCTCCTTTCAGGGCTTATATTCCATAAAGAATTCCACCGGCATGTGTCCTTGACCAGAATTGAACCCAGACGCTTTAGTCCGTAGGACCCTCTATACTACAGACTAAAGGGTCTGGGTTCAATTCTGGTCAAGGACACATGCCCAGTTGCAGGCAGGAGGCAGCCGATCCATGATTCTCTCTCATCACTGATGTTTCCATCTCTCTCTCTCTCTCCCTTCTTCTCTGAAACCAATAAAGATATATTTTTTAAAAAAATGTCCAGAGTCTCCTGACGAGATCACCCAGACTCCCCTTCGCAGGTGGGAATGCTGAGCCTGAGGCAGGGACAGAGCTGGGTCTAGTCCTCGTCCCCCAACCTGGTTTTCTAGCAGCTTCTTCCTGAGTGAGGAAGAGCCCTCAGTGAGGCCCTAAGCTCTTCTCCCCCCGGCCTCACACACATGGACATACCCCAACATTACTTGACTTCAAGACACAGACCAAGGGGAGCATGGAGGTGACCACGTGGCCTGCGAACTGGGACCCCAGAGGTCAGAGCTCCCCTCCCCTCCTCCACCTCCTGGCATCAGCCGGGGGTTCGTATGCCGGTCCCTGGCCGCCCTGCCCACCGCTCTCCCATTTGTGAGGTCAAGCCCGAGCCACGCTGCCACAGCGCAGAGTCCACTGGAGGCGGCCAGCCCGAGCTTCCAGCTCCGGAAGCGAGGGGCCTAGACCTGCCAGGGGCCTTCGCTTCCAGAGGCCGGTGACCGCTCCCTGTGAGGAAGGCACGAGGGGCCAAGAACCGCACGAGTGGGTCCCACTGCAGAGCTACGGGGCTGCCCGCCCAGACCCGTGAGGCCCCAGCCCCGGGCTAGTGCCCTCAGCCTGGTCCCCAAGAGTCATGCTAATAAGAGGTCTCCGCACGGCGCCTGAGCCGCCCTGACGCCGGGAGGACCCCGGGAAGGTTACCTCTCAAAGCCCAGCTGCTGGCAGGCCTTCACGGAGTAGGAGCTGTTCCAGCCGTCGCTGCAGATGGGCACCCACTGGTGGGAGGAGCCCGAGTAGACTCTGAGCAGAGACTTGTCCCAGTCAAACCTCACTGCGGGCCAGAGGGGGGAGCAGGCCCTCAGCACGGAGGCGCCTCGATGGGGGTGAGCTGAGTAAGACTCCGAGAGGCCCCTGTCCTGAGACCCCTCGCTGAAGCCCGGAGATGCCCGGGACCTTGGCTCCGGAGTGAGGGCGTCAGCCAGTGCTTAGGCGCCCAGGACACTCGGTGAGGGCAGAGGCAGGGCAGGGGCAGGGGCAGGGGTGGGGCGGGGCCGGGGCAGAGAGCTCTCCATCCAGCAGGACCTGGGCCATCGCTGGGACAAGGGCAGGCGCTGCCAGGAGCTGTCGCCCCGAGAGGCAGTGACATGCTATACGCCGGTGTATGACCTATGATCTAATCATGTTCTCACTACACAGGCTCAGTCACAGGGGACGCGGCCGTGGGCAGGACACACGGAAACGTGCAGCAGTGGAGGGCCCGCCCCCACAGCGCCACCTCGGCCACACGCAGACAGCCTGCAAAAGCCACTGAGACCGGAGCTCAGCACCACCTCTGCGTTCACCTAGGCCGGCCACTCACAAACGTGCCTCCATGAAGCCGCAGCGGGGTCAGAGGTCACGTGCTGGGCAAAGACTAACGCCCAGAGAAGGTAAGCGATTTGCCCGCGTCACACAGCACTCAAGGCCAGGTTTCAAACACAAGCCTCCGGGGCTAGGACCCAAATCCTCCCATTCACTGTCCATCACTTCCCATTCACCTTTGCAGTCACCAGAGTGCACACACGGGTGTGCACACTCACGCGCGCGCGCACACACACACACACACACACACTCACACACCCTACACTCACACACACACACACACACACACACACACTCACACACCCTACACTCACACACACACACACACTCACACACCCTACACTCACACACACACACACACACACACACACACACTCACTCATGCACACATACATGCACATACCTGCACACTCTCTCTCTCTCACACACACACACACACACACACAGCCATACACACACGCACACTCACATGCACACACACACACTCTCGTACACACACACTCATGCATACTCACGCACACATGCGCACATGCACACACACACACACACATGCACACTCACACATGCACACTCTCGTGCACGCGTGCACGCCCAGCCCGCTCACCGCAGCCCAGCTCGTCGCTCTTCAGCTTGCAGTCGGCCACGCCGTCACAGCGCACTGCGTGCCGGGGACAGCTCTCCACCGCCTCCTTGTACTTGATCCTCGTGTGGCCCCTCCAGAAGAAGACTGGGAAAGAGGAAGCACACAGCGCGGTCACCCCAGCCCGCGGCCAGCACACCGGAGCAGCCCGAGGCCTGGGGTTCTGAGACACCGACCTGCAATCCCTCTCGGACTCTGGGGCTCTTGTCCCCCATCTGTATGGAGAAAAAGGCTACTCAGGAATGTTCCAGAATGCTCCAGAAAGCTCCTGCAAGCAGGGCAGCACCAGGCCGGCCTGAGCAGCCACCCAGATAAGGAGAGAGAGGGAGGGAGGTGTGGGGACGGCCTCGTGAGCCCCTGCCTGATGCTGGCCAGCGCGGGGGCCAGGGAACCGTCCCGCAGGCCCGGGGCCCCCTCGGAGCCCTCGGCTGCCGGGCCTCTGCTCTGCCGGTGGCAGACATGGCTAAGCACCGGCCTGCTCTCCAAGGAGGTCCTTCGGCCCCAGGAGCTCCGGGATGCTGTCTGCTCCTAGGCCACGAGGTCTCCTACCTCACTCCTGGCCCACACTGTGCTTTTAAATGCCTTCCCGCCAAAGAGCCACGGAGGTGCTGCCACCCAGTGCACACGCCTCACACACCCTTCCCCTCACGCTGGCTCCTGTGTCTGCCACTGCGCCCCCTAGAGCTGTTAGCCCGCCTGCACACACCGGCCTGGGAAGCCAGAGGCCCCACTCGCCACCCTGCTGTGCCGCCCTGACCCTGCTTCCCGCCCTCCACTCACTCCTCCCCAGGGGAAGCCACCTGTGTGACCCCCAGGGGGAAGCCACCTGTGTGACCCCCAGGGGGAAGCCACCTGTGTGACCCCCTGAGGGAAGCCACCTGTGAGACCCCCAGGGTGAAGGTCACCTGTGTGTGTGACCCCCTGGGTGAGGGTCACCTGTGTGACCCCCAGGGTGAAGGTCACCTGTGTGACCCCCTGGGTGAGGGTCACCTGTGTGACCCCCAGGGTGAAGGTCACCTGTGTGTGTGACCCCCTGGGTGAGGGTCACCTGTGTGAGCCCCCTGGGTGAAGGCCACCTGTGTGTGTGACTCCCTGGGTGAGGGTCACCTGTGTGACCCCCTGGGTGAAGGTCACCTGTGTGACCCCCAGGGGGAAGGCCACCTGTGTGACCCCCAGGGGGAAGGTCACCTGTGCGACCCCCAGGGGAAGGTCACCTGTGCGACCCCCAGGGTGAAGGCCACCTGTGCGACCCCCAGGGTGAAGGCCACCTGTGTGACCCCCAGGGGGAAGGTCACCTGTGTGACCCCCAGGGGGAAGGTCACCTGTGTGACTGCTCCTTCCAGGTTCAGAGGCCAATCCCTCCTGATCTGCGGGATGTGCCCACTCAGTGCCCACTCCCCCCCGACGGCCTGTGCCCCGGACGGGCCATGGTCCCCTTGACGTCTGTGGGAAAAGCTCTGGGTGGGAGTCAGGCCTGGGCTCTAGTCATGCCCCCCTCCCTGGCGCTGGCAGGACCAGGGGCCAGAGGACTCAGGCATGCGGGAGCATGCTGGGAGCTGTGCCAGGAGGCTTTTCTGGGGCTCTCCGGATGGTGGGGTCCCTGGAGGTGCGGGAACAGGAGGCAGAGTGGGCAGTGAGCCCGAGCCCTGGAGAAGGTGCATGTGGACCCACGGGGTGGGCACAGGCACCGTGACAGCCACGCCTGCACCTCGTGGGCAGGAGGGGGTGAGGCTCGGGGAATTACTAACCTGTGGGGTCACCAGCTGGGTAGGTGCAGGTCTGCATGGCACTGAAGCTGTGTTCTAACCAGTACACGGCCCCCCATCTTGGCCCTCACTCCAACGGCCCTGCCCCCTCACCCCCGCAGCTGGCACCCAACCCTCCCCGCATTCTGGTTCTCCCACCCTGGCCAGGCGCACACGGCAGACAGGGGCTCTCTAGGCACAGGAGGCAGGTGGCAGGTGCGTGGGGAGAGGGCGGGGCTGCTCACAGAGAGGAGGTGCCCCCCACCCCCCTGTGCTGGGTCCCTAGCGGGTCCCCGGACAGGCCCCAGGACACGTCCTGAGCATCGTTCCCAAAGAGGGGAACTCCTGCACCCAGAACAGGTTATCTCAGTGCCGGGAAATGCTGAACTTTCCCTAATCGGAGTGTTTATGTTCCCAGTGGGCTGTGTGCCAGATCTCCCTGTCTCCTCATCACCATGAAGTCTTTATGGGACTCTCCTGGGCACACAGTAAGTTGAATGAATGAGTGAACGAGTGAATGAGTGAACGAATGAATTCCATCACATTTGAAGATGCGGAACCTGAGCTCCGAGTGGTGCACCAACCTGCCCAGCGGGAAGGACAGATGGGCCGGGAGCCCTGGCTTCTCTGACTCCCACACTCCTCACCCCCGGCTTCAGAGGGTCCTGGGGGCACCGTGTCCTAGGCCGTTGGCAGTGGTGGCCTCCGTGTTCCTGCTGTGCCCCGGCACCGCCCCCATGGCCACATCCCGGCCCCCCGCAAGGTGCATGCCTCCCCCCCTCCCCCCGCCCCGTCCACTCACAGAGCAGGATGAGCGAAGCCACCAGCGCGATGAGCAGGAGGATGCAGCCGATGAGCGGCAGCCGCTTCTGGCCTGCCTGCCAGGAGAACTTGGGTGAGCGGGCACCTAGGGGCAGGCGGTGGGAGGTGAGGGTGGAGGGCCTGCCCTGCGGGCCTGGCTGGGCCCGTGCCCTGGAGGTGGCACTCAGCCCCGCGAGCAGCCTCCGCAGGGACTCCCCTGTGCCCCAGTGCTGGCTGCCTTGGGTTTGCGTTAACGACTCCTTCTGCCCTCCCTGCCAGGCCCCTACTGTCCCCTGTTCCCTTCCTCCCACACATGGCCACCCAGGGAGGGAGCGAGCCAAGGCCAAGCCTTCCTCCCCCCACGGACCACCCCTCTCCTCCTGCAGCCTCACCTGGCGTCTCCCTGGCAGCCCTGGTGGCTGGCGCTGACGTGGCAGGAGAGGCCCGGACGGGAGTGGCCCCCAGAGGTGTTGCTCTGACCAGGTGCACTCTCCTCGGAGGGGATGCTGTGGAGGCTGAGCTGGCAGATGGTGCCCCTCCGGATGGTGCCCTGCCGGACGGTGCCCCTCCGGACGGTGCCCTGCCGGACGGTGCCCCTCCGGACGGTGCCCTGCCGGACGGTGCCCCTCTGGATGGTGCCCTGCCGGACGGTGCCCTGCCGGACGGTGCCCTGCCGGATGGTGCCCTGCCGGAGGAGGACCTGGAAGGTGATGCCCGGGCTGGAGTCCTTGCCGGGGAAGCATCCTGAAAGCGGAGCAAAGTCATCCCTCAGGCTGTGTCCCTGCCAGCCATCCAGGTGCAAGCCCTCTGAGCTCCAGGGAACCGCTCTGAAGCAAGAGGCTGGAGGAGCAGGGCTGGGGCAGGGGGCAGGGGGAATATGTGGGAAGCCCTGGGGGCAGGGCTGGGGCAGGAAGGCAGAGCCAGGGGGCAGGGGGAATATGTGGGAAGACAGGTGGGCCCAGGGGTGGAATGAGCCCAGAGTCCCAGCTCCCTAAAGCCTTTCCCTGTCACAGGCCCTGCAAAGGTGGGCAGGGGCAGTGCCATCTGCCTGGGCGTGGGGGCTCCTGCTTTGGCTCCACGTGTCTAAGGCCCCTCACAGGAGAGGCAGCTGGGCCAGCTCCTCCCCCAAAGGCAGCCGAGAGCTGTGGTCCACGTGGGGGTGTAACCACCCTCCGCCCCCTCTTCTCCTCTCCCCGCACCGGCCAATGCTGGTGTGTGTGTGTGTTAGCCTCACACTGGTCCTACCATCAAACATGTGAAACGCACAGCTTCAGAAGAGCCCTGGCTTGTCTTACACCCCAACGCTCAGTAACCCCAGAATTAACACAGCACAGCACACACACACACACACACACACACACACACACACAGGCAACGGCACAGGAGGACGCTGTGGGAGCACTAATTTACCCATGGCCACCGAGAAGGGGTTCTGAGTGCTGGTGTGTATTTCCTCATCTCGTCACCAGAGCAACCCTCTGAGGGGCACTCTCACCCCCATTTTGCAGAGGCTGAGCGACTAAGCCACGCAATTAAGCTGCCGGAGCCCCCAAGTGAGCCCAGGAAGGAGGTTCTGGGGCCCTGCCCTGACCACAGGCTGCTGCCTCTGAGGGGCGTGTGAGAGCGTGCAGCCACGGTCACAGCCACGGGCACAGCCACGGGCACAGCCACGGTCACAGCCACGGGCACAGCCACGGGCACAGCAGGCGATGGAAGAGCGCAGGGCTGCTGCCCCTGGAGACCCAGCTGTGCCTCCCCCTGCGCCCTCTGACGGTCTCCATCTGTGGAGGGAGCCGGCAGGCGGACTGTTGGGGAGGCGAGCAGCCTCTGCTGGCGTCGAGCCCTGGTCTGCAGGACTCTGGGCCCTTCACCAGTTCCGGCCCCTTCTCACCTCCCTCTGCCCCTAATGCGGATCTCTCCATCCTCCCCACACCAGCCCTCCTCTCAGTTCCCCCACAGAAGGCCCCAGAGCGCAGCGGAGCTGGGATTCACCCGGCCCAGGGCCTCACCGCCCTCACCGGGATTTCTGCGGAACGCTGACCAGCTGCGCTGAGATGGCCTCAGGGAGCCGCAGGAATGTGGGGGCTCGGCCTGTGGTGAGCCGAGGGCACAGGGTCTGGGCCCGGCCCCTTCTCCTCCCTCTCCGCCCACGGAGCTGGGAACCCCGGACACGCTCTCTCGTCCACCAGCGAGTAAGAGTCCTCTCACGCTGACCCCCAGGCTGCAGCACCTGCTCCCTCCCTGGCAGGTAGCTGTCGCTCTGATATTTGTTCTCTCTCAGAGTCAGAGCCGCTGGCGTGTCACTGCTCATGTGTGTGGAGCCTGGGGGTGAATTCCAGGAGGAGCCTCTGCTGATCCCACCCGCGGGGAGCACACGCAGCAGCGGCAGGGACACACACGTGTGTTTGGGAGCCTGAAGGGCGGCTGCTGGCCACCGCTGAGCCCAGTGGCCCAGAGCTTGGTCCCCTTCCTGGCGCTTGTAGGTTCCAGAGAATGAGAACGGACCAGCCCCTGGAGGCCCCCAGGGAACGGGACTGGGGGAGCCAGGAGAACATCAGGGAATGGGACGGGGGCCAGGAGAGCAAGTGAGGCCGTGTGGAAGGTGGTGGATGTCCGCTGACCACATGGGGCCACCAGCGTGACCCCTGTGACCTTGGGAAAGCCACTTATGTTCCTTCTTCCTGTTCTTGATCTGGAGAACAGCACAGCACTTCCGAGGACTCACCGGTGAGCGGGACGCTCCTGCCCGCCGGCACACGGCGCTGGCAGGGGGGCCACTCCTCGCCCCTGTGCACCGCACACCCAACGCCATGTGCAGAGCGGCGACGGCCCCGGGCACAGCCAGGGGGCCGACGGGCAGTGCCAGCTCCGCTTAGGGGGACGGGAGGGTGCTGGACAAAGCCGGAGTAAAACCCCCCGCACAGTGCTGCTGAACCTTGGCCTCTGCAGTGTGGCAGTCTGCCTGGCAGGCCTTTGTCCCTGTTCTCACCTGAGTCTGCCCAGCCTCGGGGACATTCCCATCCTCCGTCCACCTCTCGGCCTCCGGAGGTCTCCTCGTCCTCCGCTCAAACCCAGCAGGAGCCAGGAGGAGTTCCATGTTCTGGACTCCGCGTGGGAGACTCCGCAGCCGTCCTCTCCCCTCCGCAGGTCCCCCCCGCGATGTCCCCTGGTGTCCAGCCTACAGCCCAGGCCTCACGTCCTCTCCTCAACTCGGGAGCGAGGCTCCCGCCAGGCCCGCTGCACCCTGTGCAGACACCTCAGCCCAAGGGGAGACCTCCCCTTCAAAGTGCCAGATTCCCCCCCCCCCACACCCTCTGAGACCCGCCGGCCTGCAGACAACCAGGAACGAGGCTCAGGCGACAGCTCCTGGGCCGGGGCCCAGCTCCCCCAACTTGCCTGCAGTTCGAGGGTCCTCACCGGCCGGGCGGGCAGCCTGTGGCAGGGCAGAGTCAGACGGGGGTGATGCAGTGCCCTGGCCCGGCACTGCCAGTTTTTCCCTCCTGGCTTGCCTGTCCTCCCATCCCCCGGCCGGTCCCGGTGAGGACTGCCTGGCTAACAGCCTGGCCCTCCCCCATCATGGCCAGCACTCCCCAGGCTGCTCCCGGGCGTCCAACCCAAACTCACCCAGCCCCTCAGGGGGCAGAAGCAGCCTGGCTGGCAGCAGGCGGGCAGGGCCCGGGGAGAGGGGTAGCTGGAGAGAGCAGGGGCTCTTTCCTGGACAGGAGCCAATGAGGATTGTTCTTCCCATTTCACAGACAAGGAGATAGAGGCCCAAACCATGTATGTGCTTTCTCCAAAGTCTCTCGGGAATATCTTGGCGCCAGGAGGCAGGGAAGCCCAAGGCGCCTTATGCTCAGCTCCCTGCCCTCTGCCCGCGGTGCCCAGTGGTAGATCCGGGCTCCAAGGTGAACGGGGACCTGCACACTCACTCCGAGCACACTCTGCCCAGAGGCCCTGCCCGGTGGGGGTGGGAGTGAGCCCAAGAGCCCCTCGGCCTGCGGGGAGGGCCTGGTCTGAGTGCCGTCATGGCCCCAGGCCACAGCCATGGCCTGAGCCTGGGCTCTGGATGGGGACTGCTCCCCGGGCCCTAAACTATGCCCATTCGCAGTAGAGGCCCCCACGCATCCTCACAGCCCAAGGGCAAGTCCAGCCCGTGCCCTAGGGCCCCCTCAGCCTCAGCCCAGGGCAGGCAGGCAAAGCTGGCAGAGCCCCGAGAGTCTTACAAACTCCGGTCCAAATCTCCATCCTACTGCTGAGGCAGCCGAGGCCCGGAAAGGCACAGCGCTCGCCCGCTGCCCGCTGCCCGCTGCCCACTGCCTGCTGTCCGTGCCTGCTGCTCGCTGCCCGCTCAGCGTGCCAGGCAGGCCCTCCCCAGACCCAGGCCCTGTGGCAGCCCTGCTCTCCAGTGGCCCGGAGCGGTGTGGGTGTTGGAAGGAATGGGCACAGACAGGGCCCAGGCTGCCCCCCTTGCGCTGGGCCAGGCAGGAAGAAGTGCTCCCCGCCCGCTGGAAGCACGGGGAGTTCCGGAAAGCTCAGGGGTCCCTGTGATGGGACCGAACAGCCCTCTTGCCCGCAGAGCCCGCTGCCGTGTGGACTCAGAGACCGAGCGGCCTCTGGGCGCCGGCCGAGCTGGGACGGGCAGATCCTCAGCTCCCCATTCGCACTGCTCAGCCCAGGTCCCTGTGCCTGAGAGGCTCCCCCTGCTCTCCTCTCCCTGGACCGAGAGAAACCCACAACCATGGGCTCCCCTCTGATTCCAGCACCTCTCCCCAGCCACCAGCGTGCCAACCCAGGGTCCCGGTCAGCCTGGGATCCCGCTGGGCCACAGTCCCCTTTTCTCCACGCTTGGGAGGCACGGCCTCCTGCTCCTGCTCCTGCTCCTGCGTGGCCTACTGGTGTCACATCCCTCAGCTCCGGGTCTGCAAAACCAGGGGCTGGACAGCCAGCCGCATCCCAGCAGGGTCCACGGGCATCGGGGCTGCACAGAGGGGCCAGGAGCGATTCACAGGTCAGGGGCGTGGAGTCCCCCGCCCACTTCAGGCAGAGCAGAGCCAGATTCCCCTGCCCAGGAAGCGCCTGCTGCCACCGAGAGTGTGAGGGCCCCTGCCCGGATGCTAAGGCCGCCGCAGAGGGGCACCTCCTAGACACACAGGAACGGCCAGACCCAGAGCACTTCCTGCCCCTTCGTTTGTTCCCTCGTTTTCCTTCCTTTTTAACGAAATATATTTTTATTGATTTCAGAGAGGAAGGGAGAGGGAGGGAGAGATAGAAACATCCATGATGAGAGAGAATCATTGATCAGCTGCCTCCTGCACGCCCCACACTAGGGATCGAGCCTGCAACCCGGGCCTGTGCCCTTGACCAGAATCAAACCCAGGATCCTTCCGTCCGCAGGCCGGCGCTCTATTCACTGAGCCAAACCGGCCAGGGCCACTCACTCATTTTCCATTCACTTATTATTTATTCATTCATCAAATCATGTAGAGACGTTGAGTGGCTACGGCTGCCACGCCAGGAGCGCTGGATGGTGTAGGGGCTTCCTGCCTCGGTTTCCCTGGGCGCCCCTCTGCCGATGCCGGCGTAGGGTGAGGCTCCCTTGTCAGACAAGCCGCCGCCAGCGGGTGCCACCAGGCTCCCTTGGCTGGCAAAGCCCAGGGCCCAGGGTTTCTGGCTCCCCGAGCCCCCACCCAGCACCCTGCACATCCAGATGGGCACGGTCCACCTCCGTGCCATGTGCCACGAGGAAGCTGTGTTGCCAAAACAAGACACTTAGGTTGAGTGGCTATTGTTAAATCAGCTGCCTTCCTGCCCAGGCCCAGCGCCCAGGCCCACACACTCCCACGTATGCCAGTGCCCAGGGGCAGCACAGCAAGGCGGGGGCAGAGGGCGGAGGGCGGAGGGCGCAGGGGGCAGGGGGCAGAGGGCAGGATGACGGTGCAGGGTGGAGGTCTGCCGGGCACCATGACGATGTGAGACAGAGGTCAGAGGTGAGGGAGCATGCCTATGGATGGAGGGCAGGTGCCGGGTCCTCAAGTGCCTGCACTAGTTTAGGGGATGGCGTGGCCTGCGCCTGCTGGTCTGGCATCTTGGTAACCTGCCCGCCCCCTGTGGGACCTCAGCGCCGCGGTCCGGCCGGCTGGAGCCGTGCCACGTTAAGCAAATACAAGGAAGCACAGGAACATCCGCTCAGCAAAGGATTGCTGCCATCATGGGCCCCGTCGGCCTCTCTCTAATAAACATTCCCCCTATAAGCATGGAGGCTGTGGCTTATTTAAAGCACACCAAGTGGCCACTGTTAAAAAGCCAGTGCACACCGATATGGTGCACCTGAAACCCCTTTTCTGTGGTCTCAGGGGCCACACAGGGGCCTCCGGGGGCCAGGTGTCCAGTCCTCAGATTTGATGGTGGGAAAACATAGTCAACAGAGAGGAGACTTGGCCCACATTTTGACAGAAGCCGGGACAAGAGCATAGAGGATGATGACAACAAACCTTGGCTCTATGAATCAATCTCTGTCTTTCTCTGCCCCTGCCCCTGCCCCTGCCCTGCTCCTGCCCCTGTCTCTGCCCCTGCCCGTCTGTCTGTCCCCAGGGATGGCAGACACTATTCTAAAGGAGCCTCTAGGTGAACTGCTCTAAGACCCTCAAGTAAACAGTTTTTATTCCACGTTACAGAGGCAAAGTCCCAGCTGAGCTGGCCTGTGTTCTGTCCACCGTATCCCACAGCTCCTCCTTGGAAGACAGAGGCTCGGAGGACCTCCTCACCCCTTTGCCAAGACCCCCTGAGACCCTCCCGGCCTCCCAGGCGCTCCGTCAGGCTCCGGCCCGGCTCCTTCCTCACAGCCCCGAGGGAGAACAGCAGTGGCAGGCGCTGCTCTGCAAGGAAGCCCGGGCCAGGAGGCAGGGCCTCGGGGGGCAGGTCCCAGCCACCCCTCTTCAGTGTCATTAATGCCCGCCTCCCCCCGCCCCCCGGCAGCTCCCCCTGCCCCACCTTCACCCCCAGCTCCTGTCTTGGCAGCTCTACCTTAAACAGGGGTGCATTCGAGAAACTTCAGAAAGGAAGTCGGGCGCACATCTTTCATTCTGGTGTAAGTTAGATCAGCCCCCGAAGGCACATGGCGCCCCCACACCGTCCACACGCTCCACGATCATGAAAAGCCTGCTCTCCACCCTGTGCCCCTCCATGGCCTCCCCTGTGGTCCCAGGCCCCGGACAGAGGTGCTCCCAGGCCCAGGCTGGGCCCTGCCCCCTTCGGAGAGCTCCCCTTCCCCTTGCTGCGTTTAGGGACATCACGTTAGGCCCCAGCAAGCCCCCAAGGTTCCCGGCTGGGACAGTGGGCACAGCCCTTCATGCCCCAGACAACGCTCTGCTCTCTCTGACCATCACCCTCTGCTTCCCAGAGTCCCTGCCCCCCCTCAGTGCAGAGCGAGAGGGGGCGGGAGGAGGAGACATGGGGCCCCAGGAGGCGTCAGAGCTCCTGAGGAGGGGAACACGGGGACACAGGGGAACAGGCCCCACGGAGCACTCGCTGCTTTCAGCACCCTCTTCTCCCCCCCAACCCCCAACCCCCAACCCCCAACCGCAGCTGCCAGGAGAGGAGCCGGCACGGCAGCGGGAGGGCTGTGGCCAGACCCGGAGGCCCTCCCCGGCAGCAGGTGATTCAGCCGCAACGTGTGTGGCCCAGGGAGGTGGGGATGCCCTCGGCCTGGAAAGCACATGGTGGCACTGTGGAAGGGCTAGGAGTCCAGTGAGGAGGCCCCGAGGCCCAGAGCCCGGTTAGAGTTCGAAGGGCCCGTGACCCTCAGACCAGCAGAGCAGACACCTCCCAGCAGAAGCCTCCTGGCCGGGTGCTCCCAGGCCACAGAGCGCATGCCTGCTCCGGCCACTCAGCCCTGGGCGCCTCCCAGCAGCCCGGCTCGTTGCTCCCTCCTCCCTAGAGAGGGCAAGAGCTCTTGGTCTCCAGCAGCTTCTCAGCAGAAAAGGCCCCTTCCGTTGCCCCCACCCTGAGGCCCCCGGTGGCAGGGCCCCGCCCGCCTCCCGCCCAGCCCTGCCTTCTCCCCGCCAGGAGGTCTGGCCCGGGCCCAGGACTCACCGGGCGGCTGTCCGTCTCCATGGCCTCCCCGGGATGAGGCTCCCAGACTCAGCTGATGTTGACAGGAAGGTCCATGTTGGCCCCTGGCTCCTCGGGCATGTGGGGAGAGGGGGCTGGCGGCCAGGGCCGGCCCCCGCCAGGTGGGGCGGGGAAGCCGGCTGGGAGTGTGAGGTAATCCCAGGCACAAACAACAGGGCAGAACTAGCCAGACCTGTCCCTCACCCTCCTCCTTCCACACTCCTCCTCCGAGGCATCCCAGTTACTCAGCGAATGCCAATGCGTGCCAGGTCGGCCCTGCTCCTGAAACCCCATGGGGCAGCTGTGGGGACCCGGGCTCCAGAATGGGAAGACATTCTAAGCTCACTCGGCCTGAGCCCCTAAAACAGGTGCTCTCGAGCGCCCTAAGGTACCACCTGTCCCCAGAAGGGATACCCACAGCCAGGGACCTATCACCAATGGATTTCATGTAACCCCTTAACCTATCACCAATGGATTTCATGTCACCCCCTCATCTATCACCAATGGATTTCATGTCACCCCCTAACCTATCACCAATGGATTTCATGTCACCCCCTCATCTATCACCAGTGGATTTCATGTAAGCTACTCACATCCCCTAGTTTCAGGTAAGGTATAAAACAGAGTGAAAACTCGCCGTTCTCCGGAGCATGATCCCAGTCCTTTGAGGTTCTGCTTCCCAGCAATTGTTGACAGTTTAGCTCAAATAAACTCACAAAAATTCTTGCAGGTTGGAATGTTTTTACGTTAACCACCTCTGAGGACCGTGTGTCCAAATCCTAGAGCAGGGCATGTGGCTGCAATGTCTCCCTTGAACTCTGTTTCTCCAAAAACCCCTAACACAGGCACTCACCCAGTGACCGCTCACCGTGCCCATGATGAACTGTGCCCATTGGAAGCACTGAAATGCTCAGAGACAACAGGCCAAAGCCAGTTAATGAACCACAGACACCTGCGCGGAGACTTCCCAGCCGTGGTGGACTGACGCAGCCACACGGTCCCCCCGCTCTCAGACACGAAGGGGACTGCCACGGCGGGGGGAGGGAGGGAGGAGGAAGACACGTGTGTGGCCCAGCCCGCCAAGCGCCACGGAGCTGCCGCTGGGAGCGGCGGGCGCAGAGGGGGCACCGGCCTGGCCGAGCGTTTGCGGGAGGAAAGGAGAGCTGGGGTCCTGGGAGCAGGAGGAAGCACAGAGAGCACCGTGACTGGCCTCCTGGCTGGCGGAGGAGAGGCCGTTGGCACCGCCACGCTCAGCAGACAGCCCAGCCGGGGGCAGCTGGCCTCCGAGGCTCCCTCAGCCCGGCCTGACCCACACTCGCCGCGCCACCATCACCTGTGCAGGGCTCTGGCCTGCCTGCGGGGGCACCGGGCACCGTGAGCGGGACCCTGGCCTCTGTCCTCGGCAGCGGGCACACAAACATAAGTAAGTGGGTAGACAGACAGACATCCAAAGCAGGGAAGGGAGGGGGAGGGTGGCAGGGGCAAGGCTGCGGGCTGAAACTCCCGGAGGTGACACTGAAGCAAAGACTGAAAGGAAATGACTACCACCCCCATTTGCATGTGAGCAAGCAGGAATGTTCGCTCAGCGTGGAAGCTGGGGTGACCTAATCCAGAGAAGGGTCCCGGGCCTCCAGTCCCAGAGTATCTGGGGGGTCAGTTTCAGAACTCAGCCCCAGTCACACCCTCCTTGCTCTCTCCCCAGCAGACCGACCCTCCTCTCCTCGGCCCTAGAAGGTGCTGGAATTCCTCTTGCTGCTGCTCCTCCCTCTTGTGGGTGCTCCGCAGGGCGCTCTCCGCCGGCTGTCCCTGAGCCTGTTTCCACAGCCCAGGCCGGAGGAGCCTCCCCGGTCCCGGGCAGGCGCCCGGCCTCAGGTCACCCTGAGCCTCGCTCCGTGAAGGCCGCTCTCCCCTGAGAAGAGCTCAGGCCCGGAGCCGGCCGGAGAGGAGCCTGTGTCCGGGGCCAGGGCGGCCAGCTCTGCACTTGGGGCGTCCGAGTCCCCAGCTGGGAAAGGGTGATGACAGCTGACCATGGACTCTGGCTCTGCAGGCATCAGCTTTATTTCTTGCTCTGCTCCTGGGCCCCACAGTCCTTGCGGACCAAGCCATCGATCAGATCCATCAGAACTCCTATCGGCCCTGTAAGCTGTGTGACTGCAGCACCAGGCCTCATGTGGCTGCAGTGGGCACAGGATGGCACAGGGCAGCCAGGCCTCACAGTGGCCGCATTGGGCACAGGATGGCACAGGGCAGCCAGGCCTCAAGATGGCTGCAGTGGGCACAGGATGGCACAGGGCAGCCAGCCTCATGATGGCTGCAGTGGGCACCGGATGGCACAGAGCAGCCAGGCCTCATGTGGCTGCAGTGGGCACAGGATGGCACAGGGCAGCCAGCCTCATGATGGCTGCAGTGGGCACCGGATGGCACAGAGCAGCCAGGCCTCACAGTGGCCGCATTGGGCACAGGATGGCACAGGGCAGTCAGGCCTCATGCGGCTGCAGTGGGCACCGGATGGCACAGAGCAGCCAGGCCTCATGGTGGCTGCAGTGGGCACAGGATGGCACAGAGCAGCCAGGCCTCATGGTGGTTGCAGTGGGCACAGGATGACACAGGGCAGCCAGGCCTCACGATGGCTGCAGTGGGCACAGGATGGCACAGGGCAGCCAGGCCTCACAGTGGTCGTGTTGGGCACAGGATGGCACAGGGCAGCCAGGCCTCACAGTGGTCGCGTTGGGCACAGGATGGCACAGGGCAGCCAGGCCTCATGGTGGCTGCAGTGGGCACAGGATGGCACAGAGCAGCCAGGCCTCATGGTGGTTGCAGTGGGCACAGGATGACACAGGGCAGCCAGGCCTCACGATGGCTGCAGTGGGCACAGGATGGCACAGGGCAGCCAGGCCTCACAGTGGTCGTGTTGGGCACAGGATGGCACAGGGCAGCCAGGCCTCACAGTGGTCGCGTTGGGCACAGGATGGCACAGGGCAGCCAGGCCTCACGATGGCTGCAGTGGGCACAGGATGGCACAGGGCAGCCAGGCCTCATGATGGCTGCAGTGGGCACAGGATGGCACAGGGCAGCCAAAGCCTTGCCTTGGGGAGCACCACGTTCAGCTGGCCCTACACAATGCAGGGCGGGGCACCAGGGCCCCCACTGTCGAAAATAAGAACATAACTGACTCCCCAAAATGTGATTAACCTGGGTTGTGCTGTGACCGGTACTGTATTGTTCTAGCAGAGTGAGCCGGGGGAGAGGAAATGCCCTCAGAGCAAGAAGCACCGGCCGCCCGTGTGCAGCGGGGTGTCCGGAGCCCGGGCGTGGTGGGCCCAGCCTAGGGCACACGCTCGGGCTCCAGGCACACGTGTCGGGGTGGAGGGGACCCTGAGGCAGGGGATTGCTGGCAGTTTTTTTATTTCCAGAGAAAAAGGTGGTGGGAGGCCCAAGACCTGCTTCTTGCCCCCAGAGGCCTGCCCTACCCTGGGCTCCTGGCTCTGCCCTGTACGCCTCCCTCTGACCACCCCTTCCTCCCCTCATCAGCCTGCCCAGCCCCTCATGCTCAGCTGCCTAGCCTGTGCCTGCCCCAGCCGGGACTCCAGGCCAGCAACAGCCCCGTGCATGCCCGGTCCCCCGCCCCCTCCCGCACACTTCCCTTGGAGGCGGAGGGAGTCTGTAGCAGCTGTGTACCTGCGGGCACAGGGCACAGGCTGCAAGGGGAGGGGAGGGGGACGGAGCCCACTCCATTGTGAGAATGAGGCCCACTCTGCTCTCGGCTGCACAGCCACCACGGTCCAGGGCGTCAGGAGCGCCTTCTGGGGGCCGCAGGCGGCAGGCTGGGCTCTGGGCCTCGTCACTGGGGTCCTCTGCCCAGAGTCCTCCTCCTGAGCCTCATCCTGTTCGGCTCCCCCATGGAGCCCCTAGTGCCTGCTTCCTCGGCGCTCCACTCCGGGGTCCTCACAGCACAGCCCTGAGGGGGACACAGAAGAGCAGCCCCCGCTGGGTGACCCCAGCTCCGGCTCCTGCCCCAGCCCAGAGTCCCCTCTGCCCACCCAGCAGGGCTGCTGTGCGTTTCGGGCCCTGGGCAAGGGGCCCTGGGCGCTGTAGGGGAGGCGAGATCAGGGAGGGTTATTTTTTAAACCGAGAGAAAACCCCCTGTGAGCCTAAGTAGGGTCCCGGGTCCCGGGTCCCAGCTGCCTCTCAGGCACCATCCAGCCCGGGCCCTGCGGGTGAGCAGCTGTGGCCCCTCTCCTCCACGGACACTGGGCCCCTGGGCTGGGCATCGAGAACGAGGGCCGGAGGCCTAGAGGAAACCAGAAGATCCACGGGGAGGAGCGTGGGGCTGGCCAGGGCCGCTGCTGCCCCGCCTGTGCCGAGAGTGCGGAACCCAAACCCCGCAGCTAGCGCTGCTCCCTCTGTGTGCTGTTCAGGACGCCCCTCTCTCCCGTGACTGTTATGCTTCCTTCGTGTCACCAAAGCCCACGATCGAATGGTGGGTACGAAGCCTTCGCAGAGCCCTGGCACCACGCAGGGCGCAGGGAAGGGGGCGGTGAGCCACAAGGACCCCAGGCCAGAGCAGCCGCTGCTCCCAGCTGCCAACCTGGTAGCGCCCACCGGTCTGAGGGCTCCGGGGAGTGGGAAATGCCACCGTCCGTCCATCCTGCTTTGCTGCCACCTGTTTCTGAAGGAGGATTTGCCAGCCGCTCCTCCTGGGGTTCACCCACCCCGTCCTCCCCCCATGGGCACCGTGAGAAAGAGAAGCCCACTGCCAGGCCACAGCCCGTCCCACCCTCCAGGCCACAGTGTGCCTGCCTCCGAGCCTGAGCTTCCCCACCGAGCCCCCGGCCCGCCATCTCCTGGGTTAGGTCCCCTCGCCTCCCTGGTTTCTCCAGAACAGACAGGTGGTTGCCCTGGCCCGGCTTGGGGGGCCCAGGCCCCAGCCGCGTGCACACGGCTGCTGCTTGCGGTAAAGCCGCCAGGTGGCCTGGGTCCATGCTGGGCTGCTGCCCACGGAG